AAAATATATAATAATCATATGAAACAGTAGAACCTAAGACAGACAAGTGGAGTTTAGGGCTGTACATAAAATGTTTTGGGGACAGGTCTGCAAAGAGTGTGATGTTATGTTTTTTATGGTTGAATTATTTAACTTTTCTTCTCCAGAGACAGTGGGCTTGGTTGGAATGTTATGAATTAACTGCAGGCTTTTTTCTTGAGAGGATGAGAACCCCAGGCTCAAAGGTTAAGTTTTGAAGATGATTTCTAACCATTTGTAGGTCTTGAGTTAATATTGTTATAATGAGTCGGCTAGCAGCGACTGTGGTAGGAGGTGTGTAGGAATTTCTAGAGAAGGCCAGGATGGAGTCAAGGCAAGGGCAGTGTACCTCAGTGGAATTATTAGTAGAAGTGGATGAAATTATTGGGGTGGGGTTAGGGGTAAGGGAGAAGTTTTGGAGAATGGAAAGACACTGTTAATACATGTGCAAAATTCTAGCGTGATCTTAGCTGAGGTAGATTAGGTGACTGGACTCGTGAAACTGCTGAAGCACTTCTAGCTATAGTGGATCATCAACAACATTATGACTGTTTGTACATGGAATAATTAGTTAAAATGTTAACATTTCTAAATTGCAAGTGAGCAGAATAGTATGAAAGGTAGGTCGTTTAGGATTGAATTCAAGAGGCATTTTTCCATGTCTTTTCCAAATGGCTCTGGAGGTTGGATCAATTGAAATTTTCAAGCCTGAAATGGATAGATTTTTGTTAGGCAAGTGTATGAACCAATATGAAGGAATCATGGATAACTATAAGATCATCAGATGTAGGAGCAGGCATAGACCAATCAAGGCTGCTTTGTCATTCAGTGAAATCATGGATGATCTGATAATCTACATCGCCACTTTGGTACATTTTCCCTATAACGTTTGATTCCCTTACTGATTTAACGTCAGTCTGCCTAAGCCTTGAGTATACTTAATGACAGCATTGACAGCCCTCTGAATTCCAGATTCACTAACGACTCATGGTGTTGTTCAGCCATGATCTAACAGCTTCCTCACATTCCTTTTGGAAAAAAAAAGCACACACAACATTTGGTATGCAGCCTGAAGAGATTAAATTGTCTATAAATTTGTTCTCTTGTACGATATTTATTGCACTCTAAGGAAGATGTTGAAAATTCATGTGTGCCATTGACATGTTTGATTTATCAAGATTTCCTCACACATCTCTCAGAAGATTGCCAATCAATGTTGTACTTCTAATGTGCTGTACATTTGATATAGTTGCCATCCTAATTCAGTAAATATTTGCAGTTCTTTAAATAGCTGTTCAACACAAACTAATGCAAATAACATTTTAATGATCAGCTGCTGCAAATTATTGTTTTAAGATTGATAAGACTTACTTTTGGAGAAAGAATTTGTCAAATTCCTGACTCTGAGGATGTTCGAGAGTAGAATTTTATAGCCAAAGCAGAATTGTTTAAACCTGTGTACCTCTTCCATTTAAGAAATTGATAATTAGCAAAGCAGGAACAGAGATGAATAAATTGGATGTAAAATGAAATATCTCAGTCCTTCTCAAATAATAATCTCCAGTTTAATATACTTTCTTTAGTCTATCATTAATGGAGAATATTTCAAGCACTTGAATGTCTAAGTTCTCTTGTGGATTTTGAATATGGTGTCATGTTATTCTCAAACATAAACTCTGTAGACCTGGCTCAATTCTTTAAAAAAAATTCCAAGTTAATTCAAAATAAATGCAGAATGCTGAGGAAATCAGGAAGACCTGCTGACCACTTTGTGCCTCATTGGTTAGTGAAATTGTTGCACTGTTGAAGTCTGATCTCCCTGCTGGCTCCTTTGTACTCCACAGCTGGAGAGATTGCTTTTCATCTCTGACTTTTTAATAGTTCACCTTGTCACCATATTAATAAGAGATAAAAAAGCCAGCACAAGGACATGCAGTGACATGAAGTGTGAAGTGCTATAAATATTTATGTGTACTTCAAAAGTTGACAATTCTTATTTCTTTGGCATATTGAGGTCATATGTTATTCTTAACCTTAAGAATTCTGGGTGTTCTTGAAATTATCTTTTTGGATACACAAAGGATATGACAAGTGAAGCATATTGCTAAATGTGTTCACAATTGACTTGAGTTTCCTTGTATGAGTGGACCAGTAGGGATTCAGCAGACTTGTAGAGAAATTGTTACATCTCACTAGCAAATAAAATTAACATTATCTGCCTTCTATTTTGTCTTCCACATTCAAATACTTCATTAAAAATGTAATTGAGACAAACTTTTCTTTTTGACTTATTAGCATAAGTTTTTCCATTTGAAGTCTCAAAACCTGTTTAAATAGCTGCAATGATTGCTCAGAATACTATCAAAGTGCTGTGTGAACGGGTCAGGAACTTTGGCTGGTCTCTTGTCAGATGAGAAGATTGGTGGGAATGTAATGTAATTTGTTGATATGAATGCTAAAGTATCCCTTTGTTATTTTAAGTGTGCTCTTCATTAAAGATGCAATGCGCAAAAATTAATCTTGATTGTAAGAAATTTTAAAAAAGACTTGGCTAGAATTTAAACAGCTGTTCTTCTCGCTTGGGTTTTGGAAAGTGCCAGTGGGTTACCACTAAGTGTGGTTGTTTAGGTAACCATTGACTATTTATTGAATGTAGAATTGGATTTGACGGTTGAAATCTGAGAAAAAACATTAAAGAGACGAAGTCCTATTCATTTACATCACTTAATTGTTTATACACAATGATATCAAACTAGAACAACTGTTTAATAACTTAGTTATATGGAAACACAGCTGAGACAACAGGATAATTTGATGGAGATAACACTTTGAAGGGAAGGCGTAGAACGTAGAAACTGACTGTCAGAATTGGAAAAGGAGTTTTGAACAAAGGAATTTGAATGTTGCGATTTAGAACTGACTGCAGGACAAAATCTAAACACAGATAGTTGAGACTAGAATATTGTACAATAGTTAGTGATTACAACAGAAATTGGATCAGCAGGAAGAATATGTTCAGTTGATATTTGAAGAAATGTATTTAATGGGATATGGTTAACGACATAAGCACGTGGGATTTGGGCTAATCGTAATGTGAAAATTAAATACCAACAATTAATTTTGAAGCAGGATTACTGTTGTTATGTGGGAGAACATGGCAGGAAATTTGGACACATCATCCTGGAAAGTATTAAAGATAAAATATCCTTCACAATTGACTGATACAGTTGACTTATCTTGAATTGTTATTCCCTGAATTACTGCCGTGAGGTCTTTTATGCTTAATGTCCCATCTGGGAGCTTGATAAACTTGAGGTGACACAAAACTCTGCTTATGTCCTTGCTTGCAGGAAGTCCCATTTCCTTGTGACCCCTGTACTGTTGACCTAATTTGGCTCTTGGACATAGTGACTTGACTCTCAACCTTGATTTCAAGTCCCTTCATAGACTTGCCTTACCCTGTCTCTGTAATTTCCTCCAATGCAACAATCTCAGTTGTGGATTCTTCAACTTATGTCAAGATGAGTTGTCAATACCTCAGCTTTACCTAAAGATTTTTTAGTCTGAGGTGGTGCAGAATAACAAGCCACATAATGCAATAATTGAACAATATTACCTATAAACTGTTGTCAATAATTACAGGTCAGTCTGAGTTATCTTTAGGTTTTTGTGTTTTCAGCTTTCATGAGCTTGGTTAATGTCAATTGATGTGCTTTATTATCCAGGTACAGAACTGCCTGAAGTACGTTACTGGGACTGCAGCAATAAATGTTTTTCTTGCAAAAATATTCTTTCCATTATCTTTGCAACAATTAATCTGTTTTCTCCGTCATTGTTTTGGCACTTGCAAAGCCATACATCACCATATTTGTGCAAAAATTGGTGAAAATCTGTTCATTCGATATGGAATGTGCACTTACTCACCATCGGAACTCTGTAATTTATGTAAGTCCAGTGAGCTTAGGTACAAGTTTACAGAGTTAATGTTCATAGCCCCTTGAGCACATGCAAGAGTTACAATGGACTTCAACTAGATAAAGCTGCTCAGATTATTTATGCTAGTTGTCCATGTACACTATTACTTTCTCAAGAAACTAACTTGCATTGCTACCTAAAACTGAATGGGAAAGAATCCAAGCTCCTGATGTCATTAAACGTTGAGAGAAGCTAGCCAACTGTCTTGTAATTTCAATTGCTGAGGAAAAGATGGAAGTATTGTTATTTTCATAATTTCTGGTTTTAAGTGAAACAGTATCATGTGTGGCTCAGTTGGTATCACCCTTGCCTCTGAATCAGAAGGTTTTTAGTTCAAATCTGGAAACCTGAGCAGAAAAGTCTCTAGATTGAAATCACTGAGGGAGCTTTGCATTGGAAAAGGTGGTGTTCTTTTTTGGATGAGTGATTTAAATAACAGACCTGTATCCTCACTCAGAAGACATATAAGATCCCATAGCACTACGTTTTGAAGTTGAGCAGGGGAGATCTCCATGTGTTCTGGCCAACCTTTACTCCTCAAAATTACATCAATCCTTAGTAGTTTTTTCTTTGCACGTTAGAATTACCTCACATTTGATGAGGGGCTGGCAAGAAGCACAGTTTGGGTGTTTTTGTGTTCTTGTCTCGAACTTTTTATTAAAATGGAAGTCTGTCAGTTTTATGGAATCTTATGTACCGCATTCACTGCTTTTGATGTGCACCAGCTTTTAGTTCAAAGGTTAGGTATCTTTGAATTACTATATTTTGAAAAGACCAAGGTGAGCTGCTTGTGCCATGTTAATGGAGCATTCTTATTGAGTCAACCTAGGTCAAAAAACAAATCTTAAATTTGTTTTCTTTTTATTACAGCAAGCTAAGGAATTTGTTTTCTTAAAATTGCATGTTTAGTTCAGCATGTACTTGCGTTTTGCAAAATTTCACACTTGTTCTGATTTATACTGACCTCGATCTATATGTGTTTGATGTCATGCTTTGATTATTTACAGGCTGCATGTCTGATAAGGGTTCCTTCGGAAGTTGTCAAACAACGAGCCCAAGCTTACCCCTCACTCGGTACCTATAAGGTGTTCCTTGATACCATAAGGCAGGAGGTAAGCTTAACTTTATAATGAAGTGGCTGTGTTGTAGATACGGTAAACTCACGAAGAATTAAATCCCAAGAGAATGGTTTTGAAAGTTGGATTAGGCAGAGCTGCACAATAGTGTGGAGGCCCTTGTATCACATGCAAGTGTCTCTATGTAGTGTGATATGTTCATAAATGTAGCTTATTCAAAATGCTACATATTGAGCTGTGCTGTAATACATTGAATACCTCTCTGGTAGAGTGTATGTGGGTGTGTGCAAGGAATAAAAATATCTCTATTCCATTTGTTCAGTGAAATCAGAAGCTGTTTGTTGTGCTTGTTTGCATGTGAAATTTAACAAAGAATTTCAGTTTATAAGCTCAGCACATTTCCATGGGCACGTCTCATGGTGTACCATTGGTGGTCTTGAGAGAGGTTGGAGGAATTGGTCTTGAAAATGACTGAGATTTAGCACTAGATGAAATCCATAATCTTTTTCTGCTTATCACGCTATTTTCAGAGATACACAATACAGTCCACAGTTTCGTCAGTGTAGTCAACTGTGTTTTTGTGTTTTCATGCTGCAAAATTCGGGAACACTGCAAATGTTTATGTGGCATTGTCCTGGGAAACAGGCAGGTGAATGGGTGGGCATTCATTAGAATCGTCAGATCATCACGCCTTCCATGTTGAACAGTACGCGGCATCTACAATGCCCATTATCTGGTGTTGACCATCTTCATGTAAGCTTCTATGGAAATCATCATGCTGACCTCCGCATAAAGAGGAACATAAATGCCTTGTTCTTCAATTGGTTGACTTCACCTTGCTCCTCACACTTTTTATTGTCTTGTGAAATTGTCATCTGTTTGAAACAAACTTGCTAGAAGCAGTAGACAATTATGGCTTCCTTTGCAATCTTCCACACCCATACCAGCAAAATATGGGGCTCCAGAAGAGTGGGATTGATGCCCTGCTTCTTTTTGATGGCCTCGATAAATTTGTCATCAATATTACGTTTTCAAGTTCTGGAATTCCTTTTCTTTTGTTGATGTTTTTTGTTCCATAATACCATGAGACTATAACACACAGGAGCAGAATTAAGCCATTCACCTCATGGAGTCTGCTCCATCATTTGGTCACGACTGGTATGTTTCTCAACCCCTTTCTCCTGTCTTCTCCATGTAACCCTTGATCCCCTTTCTCATCAAGAACCTATCCATCTCTGCCTTAAATACATTCAATGACTTGGCCTCCACCGCCCCCTGCAGCAATGAATTCCACAGATTCACCAGCCTCTGGCTAAAGAAATTCCTCCTTATCTCAGTTCTAAAAGGTCATCCCTTCACTCTGAAGCTGTGCCCTCGGATCCCAATCTCTCCTACTAGTGGAACATCTTCTCCACATTCACTCTATCCAGGTCTCTCAGTACCCTGTAAGTTTCAATCCGATCCACCACTCATCCTTCTAAACTCCATTGAGTATAGACTCAGTTCTCATTGATGCCTCATATGACAAGCCCTTCATCCTTGGGAATA